GTTTACACTTTATACATGGTCTTGTTTTCATACTTATTTTGTATATAAGCAAGACGTGAAACTGCGCCAGCTTTCACCAGTCTTGTATTTGATGACCATGCTATATTCTTGTAAATCACAAGACCATGTAAGGAGACGTTCGTTTGCCATCCTATTCTTTTGCATCGCACAATTAGGCCTTTGATCCGTCCACACCTCAAATTGACGGCCATATATGAATCTATGGCATACCTCCGTGCATGCCCATACTATGGCATGTGCTTCGTTGGATATATGCCATAGCAGTTCATTCTTTTTGAATGCCCGTGAAAAATATGCTAACGTTCTTTCCAACATTACGCCAGTTTCATCCTTCTGCATTTGTGTTAATACACATTCTCCTCTTACCTTACATGCGTCCACCTTTACTCTAAAGGGGCTAGCACTACTTAAATAGTCAGGGAAAGACAATGCTGAAGTGATCAACGCCTTTTTGACTTTCATAAACGCCTGTACCATGTCCTCATCCCATTTGAGTGTAACTATCGTCAGTTTGTTTTTCGCGTTATGCTTGCCTCCTAACTTCCTGTATAGAGAATAAGGGATTCTAGCATAGATAGATATATATCTCCTAACATAATTACACAGGCCTAGAAATTGCCTCAATCATTCGTGTTTTTGGGTTTAGGCCATTGTGATATTTGCTGATATCTGTGTTTAAGAACAGACATCCCATTGATATCAAATTGATATCCTAGGATCTCAGCTTGATCCTGTCCAATCGCTGTTTTGCTCCCTTTTAACAGCACCCCTAGACTTGTTGAGGCAGTAAATGCCAGATCCGTATTATGCAGACATTCTTCGAATGTAATTCCTGCTGTGGCGTCATCATCAACATAATTGATAGTCCTAGATCTCGTTTGTAATATTGGAGCCACGCTTTTACAATACAGAGGTCCGCTGACTTTGAGACGTTGCGGAAAGCATTTGAATTGATATTTAGCATTGCTTGTGCTAAATGCTAGAAACTTACGACTCTCTTTGTCCACCAGGACCGTCCAATATCCATTTTTTTGGTCCCATGCGCTATAATATGCACAACCTTTAAACTTCTCGGCAGCTTCCAATATAGATATAAGTGGCCAGTCACGCGATTCTATTGACATGTTGAGTTTACGGAAATCACCAATTGCCATTTACCTTCTTAGTGGGGTTTGGGTACAATTAACACGGGGCTACTGTAGGGTGAGTCACTGTGCTTCATAATTTTGTTATCTAGTATACTTTATATCATTTTTTTTCCGTATACATCTTGCTGTATCTGTCTTAAACATAGGATATTGTCTAATATGTATAGGATCCGTATTCCTTTTAATATTCAACTTTACTGGATCCTGTGTAAGAAACTGATGATCCCTCCGATCATGATCGAATAGCTTCCTATGCTTAATCAAAAGTAATTCGACCCTTTTACATTGGTCTTCAGTTAAATTCTTAGGATGTATATATCCTAGGATTTTCGTTCAGCTTCTGAGAGCTTATCAAGTTCTTCGACTGCCTTGGGATAACACGTATCATCATGTTGTTCACTTTGCTTTACATTAGTAATAGCCTTCTGGCATTCTTAATTTGTGTATGTCTTACACACTTGATCAACGTCTATATGATCCAGATTTCCTACTATCACATTATTAATCATCAGAGGTCTATCTCCTAGATTGGTAATGATTGATTTAAAAACTCCCTTACGATTAGTGCCTTGAATCATGCACGGTGCCAATTTATCCTCCATGCCTTCATTAGGGATACTAATATTTATTTCAAAAATGGCAAGTATGTATGATACAATGTATGAACATACTTCATTAGCCATAAATGCACATATAGGTAAACTTCTTTTATCTTATCGGTTTTAAATTTTGACTACCCGTGAATATTTGGGAGGAATTGTGTAACAGCCTGCTACTCGCATCATTTGTGTGTTCATTAATCTGATGGGCTTCTTTAATCTTGCGCATGGAGTTGATATTTGCCGAGTTTCGAATGTATTGTAATACTTGATTATCATTCGTAGTAAACCGCCATTTTTGCAGGTCTTCCATTTTTATAAAGGCATCATGCCAATCGACACCCAGCAAGAAGTCTGTATTTTTGGATGGTAGCTTGTCCACTACCATAAAAGTCTGGCCAAATTCATAACCTTGTATCTGCAATCTAAACCTTACAATCCATTTGGAAAACAACGTTTCATTTAATCCATGTATGGGTGTGTTTTTCTCTATTACTTTTAATATACGTGATTCATCTTCGTTGTATAAATGAATCAAGACCTGTTCTGTACATAAGGAAATTTTAGCTCCGCTGTCCACTAACGCGAATGTTCCTTTATTCATTATATTCATCTCTATATACTTCAGAAAAACCATTTCAGATATATACATAAAGCAATTCAGTGTCTCACACCCATACATTGTATATCAGACATGCGTTTACATGTTCACTTGAGGATTGTCTATCCAAGAAATCCTCCATCGTCAATACTTTCTTTACAGAAATTTCGTTGTTGTCATTCCCTGTATTGGCCATGTCAGTATCAATGTTGGTATCGACATCATCATATTCGAGTAATTCTTCCTCAATGGTCACATTGATCTTAAAGACCTTTTTCACTTCTTCGCGTTGGCCCATGTAAATACCCCGTAACAATGAAGGAGTAATTGCGCAGGATCTTATATCTTGCATGCCCTTGCACCTTCCACAATAATTTCCTGATACAGTAGGAGGCTCAGTTACCTTCGCTTTGATTGCGTCTATCAGTGTACGTCCAACACATTCCTTAACTATTTTTGTGCCAGACATGCAAAGGAAACATTCCCTTCTCATAGGCCTATCATAGGAGATTGACCGAGGTTTCTTGTTGTTATTAAAATGATGGTTCTCCTTTCCATTAAAAAGGTCTCTCACTATTTCGCAGCTTGAAACAACGAGCGGTGTCATGGGAAGAATTTTGACCATACTCCGTACAATAGTAGGAATTTTCTTCCCCCACCTTTGTATTCAGTACTTTAGATACTTGGTTCACTTTTTCCATAGACGGGCCATACAGACTGACGTGTTCCAGATAAAAGGTCTCTCATTATTTCGCAGCTTGAAACAAGTGTCATGGGAAGAATTTTGGCCATACTCCGTACAATAGTAGGAATTTTCTTCCCCCACCTTTGTATTCAGTACTTTAGATACTTGGTTCACTTTTGCCATAGACGGGCCATACTGACTGACGTGTTCCAGAGCGCATGACCAGAAATTAGTCGCTTCCGTCGCCTTCGACAAAAAAATATATGCTGTGCCATATTACTAGGGAACTTGGATGTAAGGTATTGAACCTCATCTCGTGGCGCCATTTTTGCTACTTTCAGCTTAGGATTAATCTCGTTGAAAAATATGTTAACCTCATTTTCAGTTGATAATACGAATTCAGCTCGATTCTCCAGTTCCTTTTTAATACGAGCGCGTGTAATCCTACTGAAATACGAAATTTACATTGTCAATACTATGGCGGGCACTATAGTATCCGGCAGCATATCCTCCAAGTTGTTGAACATCTCACTGCCTTCAACCCATTCCAGCAACGCATTCCGACGTTCTCCCGTGATACCGTGCTGTTGGAGATTGAGCACCGCAGCTCGACCACGTCCGGCTTGAGGGATTGGGTAATATGTGGCCAAAATCTTCATTGTTTGACTCATGAATCGTTCAGTTCTCCGGTATACGGTCTTTAGTAAAAGAAGTTTCAAAATTAGCGGCACTCACTTCTTTAGCAATAGGTAATTTACCTGGAATCACCTTCTTCAGGTATTCCAGATGTCTAGGGAATTTGGTCATCATTAGCTTATGAACTGACCAACGTAGGTGTTTCGGAACGGGTGCATACATCCGATATGTTCATACATTGTATTATATATACTTGCCATTTTTGAAATAAATAATATTATCCCTATTGAGGTCATATAAAATTGAATCACCATGTGAAGTAGCTGACTTCAGCGTATTCTGATGTTCGGGCAGTAGTCCTTCAATATCGATGCTTTTAGTAGTTTCTGAGAATAGATGGTCAAAGTCAATCTTGACGCGTAGGCATTCCGTACTTAGATCATGGAATTCGCACATAGCGTAATTGTTAGCTTGATTAGATGCCATCTTTGATTCAATTTGCCCTTAACTTGGGTTGGTGAGTAATATTAAACTTATTCAGAAATCAGAAGAAGAAGTTCTGCTTCTAAATTATATATCACACAATATTATATACCCATATGATCACATACCAGATTCAATAGTATGAACCCTTACTACTCGTGTAGGAGTGAATCGGCGGGGGTGATGCTCCCCTGATCGCGTATCTTATTAAATTATATTCATTGTCTCTTAACCGTGAAGGTTGCATATTTTGTTTTACTTGAACGTAAATTCTTAAAGCTCAAAGTAGTTGGGATCAGTTGTATACTTCTATCCAATAAAATATTCTTATTTTACTTTGTTTTTGGGACTTAGGGGTAAATTCTTACATTCCTTGTGTAGATCTCAAATTCCTTAAGTTCTACATTTACATCTTACTTAGTGTACATGACATTTTGCCTTCTTTTGCTTCACATCGAAATAATTCAAAATTCGTGTTGTTTATCCAGTCACCTCTCCAGGAAGGAATATATACGACATCGAGTTTGTTTTAGGAACTTTGTTCGAAACATTCGTTCCGTCATGTTTTGGATTGTGCTGCTTTTTCGTGTATACTTTGATAGTATATGATCATTGTGCGTCCATTGTACCTTGCGAGTGCGTGTATGTCTTGTGGGTTTTTAAAAAAATGCTTCCACGATTTGTCTTTCATCTAGAGGTCTGTGTAGGGATAATATTATATATTTCAAAAATGGCAAGTATGCATGATACAATGTATGAACATATGGTATGGCTCTCATAGTCGCTGTAGTGGTTCAGGAAAGATTGATGGGAAGAAGTGATCAGTAAATTCACGTTTGAAGCTTGGGCTGAGAAAATAATTGTGAGCGGGTTGACCTTTAAATGCGCAACCACTGACACAATACAAAATCGAATGTACATACACTTATCTTTTTCAAATTCTAGTGCTTGGGGCGAGACAGCAAAAATAAACACAATTTTTTTCTTCCAAATGGCAATGTTGGAGTGTGTATAACACCCGGAGTCAGCCGCACGTAATAACCAATATGTGGCGGGCTATAGAAAAAGTAAATGAGAGCAGAGTGTATTTTGAATTTATCTGGAAAAGTTACTTCTCATTTAACCTTTTTCCGTTGGCAACTGTAACATCAGGTAAATAATTCTGATTGCACATCCTGTTGAGCGCGGACACGCGTACAATATATGTACAAAGTTTTAGGTTCAACATGAATTGACCGATATATACATATATTTACAGTGCGGAGCCTATCAATGTACTATATAGCCGGTGTGGTGTTCACATTTGCGCAAGTGAATATAGAGGATACTTTAACAGGTCTCGATTGGGATTGAACGCACAAATCTTACAAATCAACTGGGAGGTCCACGAAGTTCATTCATAGTAAATAAAAAACAATATCTTGACGCAGAGAGGTAAGGCTATAACAATTACAAACATTTTAATGACGAGTGAAATATTTCATGTGCACTCTGTGTGTAAAGGTAAGATCCTTAAACTATATCGTACGAGGCTGGAATATCTCATTTACAAATCGTGCAACGCAACCCTTCACTCGGAATGTACTATCAATCAAATTACAATGCACTGCGCCACTTAGATATCGTAAATTGGTTCAAGTTGTACTGTGAACTCAAGGCAAGTGCCACCAAAAGCACACTGCACAAATCCACTTGTTGAAAGATATGCAGATTTGAAGATATAAGTCCTCAGCAAAGGGTACACCTTCTTATATGGTTTAATAAGGCGTAACAACGCACCGCAATACAACATTGATCCAGACAGTACAATTGGCATCTTTGACCGGCATGTAAACCGAAAAGCATCGATCGCCAGATACTCCTCTGAGAACAAACATTTATTTAAATGATACCATACTTTGGCCCGCGTTGTAGAATACAAGAAACCATGAAGTCGTGTACCAAATAAATATAGGTTTCTTCAGCCCATTTCTTCATAAAGTTTACTCGAAAAAGCATACTTGGAAGCAAGCATACAATTCGCAAGCTACATATGTTGCACGACGCATGTTGCACGTAGCGAGGGTATTGCGGGCTTTAATTAAATATCACTGCGCTAAGATAGAAAGAGCGAGTGGCGAAATTGACCAAAAAAACTACTGCTTCGAGCTTTAATTATCTACGACTTTAAAATATACAACTAGTCTTTGGAGCGAGGAGAAAGGACTAATTACCAGTGGCTAGCAGAAGGCTGGAGGTACGCACCCAGTCAAGCGAACAAGGACCGAAACTGGGGATAAAAGAAACAGCGTCTTTCTTAAGAATTGCCAGTGGATTCAACAATTACAGATATTTTGATAACTAAGAGATTAGTGTCATCAGTGATTTATTTTGTCAAGGGGAAATCTAGACTAAAACAGTATTGTAGTATCGAGAACTAAGTAAATAAGATCAGCCAGTGAGGGTAACCATAGTGGAAGCCAAAGGTTAGCAACTCCTGACTAGTGAAGTTCAACTTCAGACCAGAAAGAAAGGTCATAAGATTTACACAATAAAATAGACAAGAATTTCGGTGAGCTAACATCCAGACAAGAGATTTGACCTATGTCTCAAACTTCATGAAAGTTACACGCTCAATAAGGGATAGGGAACCACAACAATACACAACACACACCATAGTGTTCAATACAAGGCCACAGAAGATTTGATGCAGTACAGCATCCTCAATTCGATAGGTCGACACTTTGGTTGGGCATAGAGTTCATGATCAGAGACATCAATAGTGTTTTAAACAACACTACACGTAACACCAGCGTGGCAGCTGGAGTATGTACAGACGGATTTGAGTGTATGAACGGTACTTTCTATTCTACCGACGCGGATAGAAGTTACACGTGCACGTGTGCATCGAGGGTTCAGGATTAAAAGTGCGCACAGGAAAATAATGAGTGCATTACTGCATATATATGCGTGATAGCAAACGCCAAAACATGCACGGATGAATTCTTGGGTGTTTAATGCAAGCGTAGTTCTGGGATTAGAGATGTTGACTGCGATACTTGTATCCGCGACTAGAGGAAGGGAACAGTGAAGAGGATCATTTTCGAAGATACCGTGCCATACGACACGTGTAATTTTGGAGGTACAATCGTTTCTTATAACTGTGTGGGCAGAACAAGCACGATTTGCGAGATCGATGTCAATGAATACGACCCGAACCCTTGTGGCAATAGTAGGTGTCCAACGGGTGGTTTGACCCATCTTGTGGCTCTAGGATCCCTGTTTTGGGCTAATTGATCAGGGCTGTCAGTCGCAATTTCTAGTACCTATTTGATATTGATAAAAAAAAAAGCTTTTTCTATTCCGCTAAAAAGTATGTATACCAGGAGAAAACACAGCTGAGACAAAGAAATACATACATTTGCGGTCATCCACATAACACTCACTTGTGAATTTTAATGATCGTTCTACTGATCCATTTGTTTATGGATATTGAATAGGCGTCCGTGAACGCGCTTATATCACTGTAAACATACAAATACGTATTTATAGAGTTCTCTCAGCGTATGGCATGCAGTACATACATTGAAAATATGGGTTTTATTTTTAGATGCGTACACACAATTCCATCTTCAATAGTATCTACACATATAGCGATCTCTACTGAGGATACGATCACTCGTGTGCTTTGAACGATGATATCTAAACAGTATACGGGTTCCAATGCCGAGGCACTTCAAATTCAGTTGCCAGTATTCCCTCCGTACCTCTCGACCATATATATCATTCTTGTGCGCCGGCTGTATCGCGTGGTTTGTTCGTCTTGGGCTCTACAGCAATTTATTGTACTATGTTATACATACGCAGCAGTATGTCAATATACAAAATATATGTACGGTAGGATGTATACACAGATATATATATATATAGTTTATATATTATTTTTTGTATACCTAGAACACATGCATTTCTTCAAGAGTACCATTAAGTACTTCCAAAGGAAGGCATATATAGATATACTAAATCAAACAACTCGTATGCGTTGATATTAATACTGTGCGAATGTCTGAGCAGGTTCAATACACTAATGAGCAGGGCGGACGATCTCAGTGCATGACCAGCAAATATAGTTCAGTTTATTGATATCGAATCCCTGTTAGTTTCCCTCCAGAGCACTTCTCAACTCACTGCTGGATGGTTTTGATCAGCCCAGTACTTGGTCTTTGGCCATAAAGGATGATCACGAAGGTGCTCTCGAACCATGTATTAGACTACACTAACAACCTACTGCGTATATGCAACCATTTGATTGTGCTCAAGTCTGCACATTCCACCAGCAAAGAGATCGGCTTTTGCATCATTGACATCGATGTCGACAGTCAAAGTCGCTCATTTCATCTGCCTTGCCAGGCACGCGACTACATAAAGCATTCCAATACGGCATCTCTGTACTCCCGAATCTCCATCGGGGTCTCCCATACGTCGTTCACAATTAATTATATCAGTTAACTATAATCGCGGGTTTTAAATCAGCGCCGAGCGTAAGCACTGAGTAGCTACGGAACACCCTACTGTAACTGTGAGTGTCAGTGTTATCCATATCGCGCACACAATACGTTAACAAAATCCGAAAGCTGTAGCATACGACCCTTTACACTATCGCAGGCTGGCGGACATTCGCCGATACCGTTCTCTCGTCCCACGTTCCATTGGCACGTTGCTGATATAGTCTCATAGCCAGATCACGGGTCATCAGCGAATACCACTTTTAAACGGATTTCTCAACCATGCTTCTTAATATATAACTAGGTATATACTACGGAACAGCCATAGATGCGCTATCCCTACAGTCACAGATGTAGAACTCCCAGCCAGCTCCACCGGAGTGATACGAATCATGTCAGCGTCACATCTTCTCTCGAGATGTGTCGGCACTCGGATACACATCGATCAGCGTATATGGTCTATATATATATATATGTATATATACGAGTTGAATTCCAGAAGTTCCCTCGTACGTCATTACCAAAGCGAGCCTCAAACGCCACCGGAAATCAATTGAGAGAGACAACCCAAGATGGCCATCTGTACACTGTTTTAAAAATCAGAAAGCGACACAGTAACAAGTCAGCGGTAATTGGAATCGTACTTGACGATGTTTAATACATAGCAAAATATTATACTCGTAGCAAACCACCATATGCCTAGAACGAGATGATTTACAACTGCGAACACTTACGTAATAACATCCCTGTCCTGCGACACCCAGAACCCCGGAACTTTCAACTGGCCCAGAGCCAACTGCTGCTCAACAACTAGCGCGTCCAGCGCTCTATGGCGAATTGAATACAAGTGTAAAACGAAGAGGATGCGATTAAACCAACACATCTACTAAGCGTAGACTACAGAGGCATTTCAGCCGGCATGAAAGGGTTACCTCATCGGTTGGCAATTAATAGTCAGGCGCGGAACAGGACTCGGCATTTCTGAAGCGTTGGGTATGCGATGGTCGTGGGAGAATAGTTCGCACGGACCAATACACTCAGGAAAAAAGTTATCCCATTGTGGATGTCACAATATCTGCAACGGTTCATTCGGTCAGCGAGACCTTATGTCCCGCAAAGCAGTAATACTACGCACATACATATGGGGTGGTCACAGAACGTTAGAGCTTCATCGCATACCAAGCCGCTGACCACCAGTAGTACACTTTCTTAACATGACACCCAGTGCCATTTCAGTAGAATACCAGTAGAATACATACTCATGATAGACAGACACAGGGAGTACGAGCACAGATGCGCAAACTACCCCACCAAGCCGCACTTCACACTTATGCCAAGCTATGCATACTTATAATTGCTTGAGGACCTTGCATATGTGGACGGCGTCAACGAATAGCCATAACAATCAAATCTACTCGCGAGTATCGCGCAATGAGTAAATAATTAACATATAAGACCGGTGCACATATACATTTGAACACGCACACACACACACACACACACACATGTAC